GTTTCTCAACTATCTGAACATGCTACGCCGGGGGAAGAGTTAGCACCCAGTGACAGCGTTTCTCAAGAACTTTCAGAAGATGCATCGGATCCTCCAGCTGATTCTACACATTATCGCGCCGAATATTGTGACTCTGTTCCAGATAGCAACAAAGCAGTTGCAAATGACTCGGATATTTATGACGACGATAAAGACGATGCCGAATCCGGACTTGAGTCGCACAATGACGAGGAAACAGCTGACGATGATAACGATGATGATGATACAGACGCAGATGATGATACAGCTTCAGGTGAAGAGAGACTGCTCACTGTTACTGGACATATAACAGACCCTGAAGTGACTCGAAATGAATCTGTCTATGCTGCAAGTGACTACAATTATGATTGTTTATTCGATCCTTTATTCGATCCAAGCGACATGTTGGAGGCTGTGAACGGCACCACGACGTTGATTGCCAATGATCAGCTGATCGGCCACAGAAGACCCAGAGATGTCGAAGTCAGGCGAAGTAGAGAGCACAAAAGAATAAAAGAGGATCACAAAAGAGCAAAGATCACTCCGCGTCTACCCATATTGAGAAAGAATGATCAGCAATGTATACTGAACCAGCGCGAAGATTTCACGGTTAACGCTGCATTCAGAACACCAAAGAACGTTGAAAGCGAAGCGTACGGTACTCGCGCAAGTGATATTCGGACACCAAAGAACTTTCGTCAGGCGATGTGCTCGAAATATGCAACCCAGTGGAAAGCAGCTATGGACGAAGAATTGGAAGCAATGAAGTCCAAGGGAGTGATCACATTAATTTCGAAACGAGAGATGCCTGAAGACACTAAAGCGATCAAGACAATGTGGGTCTATAGTGTTAAAACGGACCACTTAGGCAACGTTATCCGTCTTCGAGCAAGAATTGTGGCTCGAGGTGACAAACAACGCCCAGGAATTGACTATGGAGAAACCTTCAGTCCTGTAGCACGTATGGCGACTTTCAGGATGTTCGTGGCCACTTGTCTATTGATGGACTTGACCATTTACCAGGGTGATATCAACACGGCCTACCTGAATGCACCCTTGGGGATCAAGCAGTACTTGGACTCTCTAGATGGATATCCTTCTGACACTGACGACATGGTATATGTTGTTCACAAGGCACTGTATGGTCTTAAACAGTCTGGTCGAGAGTGGAACACCGAAGTAAATGCGTGGTTTTTACGGTATGGGTTTAAGCGTTGCACTACAGAACCGTGTCTGTATTACTACGATTCAGGTTCTGAGTTCGTATTGGCACTACTCTACGTGGATGACATTCTGTGTGCAACCAAGAATGAATTGTTCAAGACGAAAATGTTTCGGAGTCTGGACGAGGTCTATGGAATGAAGGATCAAGGTCTACTTAGCACTTATTTGGGTGTTCAAGTAGAGAGAAGCGATGATGCGATTAAAATTCACCAGACGAAATACTGCGAAGACGTTATCAATCGTTTTAACTTTGGAGATGCGCACGCTAGCAGAATTCCGATGGAAACAAACATACGACTTGCTGTAAACGATACGGATACCGCGAGGGCCAAACGCATACCTGACAATGGCAAAGAATTTCCATATCGTGAGCTAATTGGCTCATTGATGTATCTGGCAACATGTACGAGGCCAGATCTTGCGTATGTGGTCGGGCAGCTTAGTAGATACGTGCAAAGCCCAACACAACAACACATTGGCGCGGCCAAGAGAGTGTTAAGGTATCTGGTGGGTTCCAAGACTCATGGAATTGTGTTCCACGCAAACAATGATGGAAAATTAAGAAGTGATTTAACCGTTGAGGGATTTTGCGATGCGGACTGGGGAAACGACCCAGACACGAGGAAAAGCATTACTGGATATGTACATTGCTTGGCAGGAGGTGCGATATCGTGGACGTCACGACGGCAGAGTATAGTGGCTCACTCTACGGCTGAGGCCGAATATGTAGCAGCTTGCGAGGCCTGTATGGAAGGGAGGGGTCTCATTCAGGTTCTAATCGAGATATTCCCAAGGTTGGTGTCGAAGTTTCGTCTCGGGATTGACAATCAAGCTGCCTTTGTGATGGCTACAAACCCGACCTACAGTCGCAGAACACGACACATTGAACTACGCTGGCACTACGTTCGAGATCAGTATGTGAAGAAAGCAGTAGAACTGTGGAAGGTAAAGACAGACGTGAATCCCTCAGACTTGATGACCAAGCCCCTGGCGAGTGCGCGTTTTGAGGCACTTATCACCATGATAGGGATGACCAAGAACGTTTTGCCGCAGTAACTACTGACGGAGGAGGGCGTGTTGGAAACTGGATGCAAGTCAACGGTGGGCAATGAAGTAAAGGGTGGCGGTTGACAATACTTTTTACAGGGAAGGTTTTATCTGGAAGGTATAGTTGACAATACCTTTTACAGGGAAGGTTTATCTGGAAGGTATTTCGTAGAAGATTCCTCCTGACATGAAGACATGCATTGAGTAGACTCAGTCCAAAAGTTTCCCTCCAGTAAACAAGTTGTTTGTGAGTGCGTAGCCATTGTTTTCCTTTATCCATACTCTATTAGTTTACCCCCTGCTTCGGGTATGCACCATAGCGGACTTATGCATCACGCGTGTGGCAGCGCTGGACTACCGGGTCACACTTCCCAGTGCGGTCGCCGACAAGTTCCATACGCTCCCGACATTGAGTCGTTAGGCAACCGCGATCATTGTAGCCAGCCCGGGTCTATCAGTGGGAGGCACAGTTGAAATTCCGCCAAAGCTACAGCTGCGGGATGAACCGGAGGCGCTTGAAGGATATGCCTGGACACTTAGCAGACCGGGCGTTGTTTGTGGGATACGCCAAGCACCCCTCGGTGGTGCAAGGTCTTGTGTGATCCTTCACCAAACCGATAACGGCATCCACTGGGTCATACATCGAGTCTCGGGGGCGCTTCCAGACGTCGAGCTGGAGTTGTTCCGCTTACAACGGCGGACTCACAATCGGGCTTTTGTATTTGCAGCTCATCCTTTACTGCACCGGTTCCCCTGGTGCCTTCACCCAACCATCCAGAACGAGCACGCCAGCAAGGCGTTACGGGGACAGCCGTTTCGCCGAGCTAAACGGTATCTATACCCAGCGCTGACGGCGGTGGTCCAGCGTCTTCGCAAGCGCGTCAACGCGGCCGACGGGGCGGGATACCCACTGCAACAGCTTCCGCCACAGCTCTGGGCTCACCTTCACGCCTTGACGGACTACCAGGTATGGGTCTGCTACCGGATAGCCACCCATCAGTTAAATTTATACGGTCCGGGCCGCGAACAAGACTTGACCTGCACACGTTATGCGACTTGCCGCGGGCAGCATGAAGGAATCATTCATATTCTCTGGGACTGCGAGGGCGCAGCCGAAGTGTTGGGCGTATATTGTAACGCAATGGACCCGTCAGGATGTCATGCCCGCGCAATTATTTGCGTGCAAAGCAGCAGTATTGTCTCGAACAGCACCAGACCTTCCGCCGGGCGTCCGGAAGGAGGTCGGCCGCATCTTTCCAGACACGGCAGAAGAGATATGCAGGGCTTGGGTACGCATCTGGTGGATAGCGTGCTCGATCTGCTTCGCCACCCTATGGGTGCAGCGAAGCCGATGGGTGCACGAGCACGAGGCAACAACCGTCGACCAAGCCGCATCGGAACTGCGTCACACACTGCTTCGACAGCTTCAAGCTGTAGCGGTCAGGGAACACCGATTTAACCGGGACGGGGACGACTGTATCTTTTTTCGGCTAGCGACGGAACTGTCTCGAGCTCCGGTTACTTGGCGGCCGGATACTCGATATGATCCGGGTAGGCAGCTCACATCACCGGTAGGGGTGCTCGAGCGGCTCGAGGCTTTTCAGCTATCTTGTAAACCGTAAAGGTATAAAGACAGACTGTTACACCACCACCAGTGACAAGAATATACGCTACCGTCATGACGCATGTGATTACATAAATCTCGACATGCCAAACACTAGTCGTAAAGACGAAAGTCGTAAACGACAAGAGTTAAACGCGATCTTGTATCGTATACCGCTATGCAGACCAAGTAAATGCTTCGCAACATGTGAGCTTTGGTTTCAGCTACAAAAGATAAAATGCGGGTACTTACGGTCAAGTGTTTATCAGCTTACACCACAGTTAAGATGTGACACGCCTATTTTCCTCAAGAGGAGGTATGAATTGGCTTGCACGGAGCTACATTACGAGTATATTTCACTGGCGGTATCTAGTGAAAAGGAGGTATGTATGATGACTATGGGTGGTCTCGTGTGCAGCATATCGTTGTCTTCTACGGTCATCTAACTTTTAGACCGCCGTGGTGGCATTTGGCATAACTTTGTTTAGACAGCTGTGAAGTCGTATGCCCGAAGAGGTCCTAGGGTCGAAGCATCTTGACGATTGTGGACTGAAAGCCTGCGTGCTGAACCACCTTAGCTGCATTACTTGCCGGCTTTGCGCTTGCTTCTGGTCAATCGTTTTTCGCTGAGTTCACGCGTTAGAGCAAGACATCCTAATAAAGTCGATCCGAGTGTTGCGACGCCCTGTATGTTGCCTCTAAACCCAAGTATACGCACACCACAAGTTTCGAGCAACTATTCTTCTTGCGGACAAGTCAGAGAAAATTTGCCATTGCTTCACTATCTGCAATACCTGACGTAAGGTTTCACAGTGGATGCATTGAGCTCTAGAGCAGCAGTGTGATTGTTTCTGTCAAACCTCTGCAGACCAAAGCTGTAGCACGTACCGCCAATGACACATTGTACATCATCAAAAGCAAGATCGATCACAATGACTTAGTATCCAGCAACACGGCAAGTCACACACGACAAGAAGGAGCAAGTGTGTTTCTTTATTGTTCGTTCTTATCGACAACAAGGCGGTTTTCACGGCCTTTTCGACTGCAGATGAGCGTTCCGTAGTCTCTCCTTCACTACCAAAGGATCTTCCTCAACACAGCACACGCGCTACTCTTGCTTAGGGTATTCAAGGTTCGACTGGCAGTCTCCATCGGAGGCTTTCCAAACGTTTCGTTTCGGGTAGAGGCATTGAGTGAGACGGAGCCAACATTCGTTGCCGTAGGTGATGCCATCGCTGCCACACACCGTGTTGCCTGTCTCATCCGAGCACGACGTTGGGCACTCGGACGAAGTAGCTCCATCTACCCATATACCGTTCCGCCGCAAGAAGAAATCCTTCCCCTCCTTGCCGTTGAACGGTACCATAGGGCCGAGACCTTCCAATTGTTTCGGGTCGAGCGGCGTTGGGTTTGACTTGGGCAGGTAGAAGATGGTAGAGCCGCTGTCATGCTTGGTGGCTGGCATGTTCGCGGTCGGTGCGTAGTTTTCCTCGACTGGATGAGGGTTCAAGTCAGAGTTTGGAGGCGGCATTGGGACGTTGCTATCTTGAGTTCCAGCAGAGACGTTCGCAAGAGCGACGGCAGCGAGTAGTAGACCAACAGAGAGCTTCATCGTGGACTAGACGGAGCACAGGTGGGGGTCGAGTCAAGTGGCTGTCGTTGAGTGTGTGGCGTGTGCCGATTTCGAAAGTGATTCGTTTTGTGGTCCGGAGCTGGGGGTTCTTGACGCAGTACAGTCGCCAAGCGCCTTGTAAAGGCGACGTCTACTCAGTGCAGGTGTGATAGGTTACGATGCTATAAAAAGCAGGCAGCCGAGACGTGCGATTTTTCCCATCCGCACCGACGCAGCATATGCGACGCGTTTTTTGCCACAAATGAATAGGGCACGGACTGCAGCTCGAGCTGTGCAGTTGCTTCTTCACATGCGTGTTGTTGATGCTTTGTACGTGTGCAATTAGGGTACTTAACACACGATGAGAGACGCCGTTGCGGCATCAAGTCGAGGAGCCCCAGTGAGCAGGAGACCCGTATCTCGATACTGACGATCTTATGGTTCTGATGGAAAGGAACGATACAAACGTGGCACTGCTCGGGTCGAATGACCGACTCGAGATCGTTTGAGAATTAAGTGCCTATGTTGGATTCCACGACCCCATCGCGGCAGAGAGTACCAGCAGGGCCACTTATGCACGGACGACGCAAGTCCGGACTATTGTCGCTGGTCGATTTTGATTGGGCTGTGGGTCGGTCGCCTGAGCCCATCACTCCAGCTGCTTTCGCGTGCAACAGAGGTACATGGCCACTTGCCACAGTAACTCGTTTGTGGCTACGGCTGCTTCTAATTACTGACGTTTGGTGTCACTTGATAGGACACTGGACCGGTGGGGGTGCGACGAACGCAGTTCTTTCCACCTTCTTTCAGCACTGCGCCAATCGCAAAGCCCCGCCCATTCCACGTCAGCTGAGTTTGCGGTTGCAAAGCCGTTTTCAAGATGACTCTGACGCCGCAGCAACAGAATTCGAACGGATCTGGTTCATATTAAGCTCCATCTGCCAAGAACATTTGTGGACCGAGCGGAACTCGGCGGTCTTTAGAGGAGCCGTGACTACTCCATCCGCAAGTGTCCAAATGTACTGGACACGCGGTGTTCGCCAGCTACGGGCAATTGCAATACGCGAGCATCGAGCCGCGGCTACGGCCGTACGAGGGGCCCGACTTCATGCCTGTCTTGAACTTCTGCTTCAAGAGCCCCGTGGACACCCGCCCAACGCGGGTGTCAGCCACGATCCGCTGCCGCGACCGGCGCTCATATCCTGGCTCAGGATTTTTCAGACCTCTTGTCCACATTAAATATGTCAATAGATGATCATGAAACTCCTCCCCTTCTAATTACTGACGCGGGCGTGAGCCGGGGGTAGCTGCTGAGCGCGAAGCTCGTGCATTCGTTGGATGACTTGTCGGATAACAGTTGGCACTGCTGCTCTGCCAAAGTAATTTATGCAGATGAATATCATTGTGGCAACACTTTTCTCAAAATTTCATTTGCTTGTATGTTTCCGCACAAAAATCAGACGATACGCAGGAGGATAATGAAAAAAGAAAAACAGTCTCATCGGCTAAAAATGACACAAACTTAGTGTAATGGATGAAAAAACAAAAACAAACAAACACTGGACTGGACGATTTGCAGGGCACCAGTGATGTGGACAATACGTATCAATGTACTACTACTTTGACTATGCAAGAGTTTGCCAGCACTATTCGTCTCGGCAGCCCATTATACTAGGAATAGGGCTGCCCGCTCACGTAAAGCTGCGTCGTCCTGGAGGGACGAAGTAGCAAGAACTGACGTTTAAATCGCGGTCCCGTACCATGACTTGGCGCTCACAAGGAGGCACGAGTGATTAAATGGAACAGTCTAGAGCTTACACCTGGAACTTTGCAGCTAGTTAAACTGCGTTCCACGTGATGACATACACTTCTGACAGCGTGAATGCGCTACAAGTGGCGAAAATCTCTTCGTTTTATAGCGTGATCACACTATTAAGCAAGTCACTGTTCCGTCGAAAGTTATGGCCGTCTGTGATTATAAGCTTTGCAGCAGTTTGTTTTGTAATTGTATGTTGTCTACGAGGCGCCTTGGACGATTCGGATGCGCATTGGAGAGCAACGCAACTTTTGTGGAAGGCAAAATGTTTACGCAAACGAAATGTGCTAAACAAAGAAACAGCCACGATGTGTGTACACTGCTTGCAATGCCGTTTACCGGTTGTGTTGCCAAAAGATAGCTGTATTGAGCATTCATGGAGCGTGCTAGCGCATGCATCTATGTTGTCAGAAGGATCTATATCAATCAATGCGCAGCGTGTTGTCAGTTGCTCCCTAATAGTACCTTCCAGAGAAATATTACTAATATTGTTCACTACGACAATTTTATAAGAGTGTCATTATTACGGTAATATTTAGATTTCATCCTTTTAAGTAGAGTCGATGCCGCGGAGCGGACTTAGCCTGCTTCATGTCCAATCCATATGCCTGTGACAATCGCATCTACACATCCTGCGGCAAGTGGATTTCGCAAACGCTCGCAGGCGTCATCACACCCACCAACAGGATCGACGTGGGCTGAATGTGAAAGGCTGGGAATGCTTCAGATCATGCCGACGCATCAACTTCGTGTAAACAACCCGTGCGACATTGAAATTGAGCTTACGCGCTAGCAATCTTGCGGATGCTTTTGGTAGCAAAGCTCCATTGCGCACGTACGCATTTCGAAGAGCTCAGTTCAACGCCCCTGTCCGGAACGGTCCCTCACGAAGATGATTACTACCGCTTCTTAGTTGTGCTCAGCTTGTGGTGGAGTGGAGAGTGACGACATTCTCACGACAGATATAGAATTTGTTTACGACGCATGTGCAAATCTCTTTCTCTACGCTACGTCATCTAGCCTCTGTCGTCCTCAGTGCGAGCGAGCTAATCGTTAGCCTGGACCACCAGTCGTCGGATGTCGAGCCACGCAAACATCGCCACCGTTGACGCCTGCTTTCGAAAAAGTGGTCGCTCATCGATTCTTGCACGCCAAGCAAGTGTCATACGGAGCTCACATCAGAAGACGCACAAAAACAGTTCCGACTTGTTGTATGAGCTGCATGCACGAGTAACTGCGCAGAAGACGTCGCGATCGAGAGGCTAGTCATAGTGTGAATAGGGAGCTGGAAGCTGCTGTTCGATGGCTACTTGCCTGTCATAAGCACTACACTCACTGCTAATGTGGTCGTGGTAAGGGCTAAAAATTGCTTCTTCTGGACTAGGGATATCTACGATAGCTTTGCCTGTACATGAACGTATTTCCGCAACCACAATGGCAATGTGCATCGTCCCTGGCGTCTCATCCGTTGCATATCATACTGTTGGAACTCGCTGATGCAGTAACGCATCAGAGGAAATAATAAACTTGATCATTGACCCAAGCCTTGGTATTGTGTTGGCAAGCGCTCCAATGTGTGAACATTCCGACCAATCAGAGCCCTTTTAAATTACTTCCGTCAAAAACCTGTCAGACTTTGTCTCGTGACAACCAGTAGTAATCCATCAGTAACTACTGGCCATCCAGAGAGTGGCCAGAAGTCACACATGGTGCTCTACATTGTTGGTCTTGGCCTCGGCGACGAGCAAGACGTCACCCTTCGCGGTCTCAATGTCATCAAAACAGCTCACAAAGTCTTTCTTGAGAACTACACGTCCATTCTCGGCGTACAACTGGACAAACTGGTACAAAGTCCCTGAAATGCTCGCGATCGCTTCTCACATATTCGTCTCACTCTGTTTTTTACCTGTCCTTCGCTCTCGTTGTTATTGGTAGGCAGCTTTTTACGGCCGAGAAGTCCTTCTAGCGGACCGAGACTGTGTCGAAACGGGTGCCGATCAGATCTTTGCCGACGCAAAAGATCGAGACGTCGCTTTTCTCGTAGTCGGTGACCCATTGTGTGCGACAACACATTCGGACCTCATCTTACGTGCGAAAGCGCTCGAGATCCGTGTGGAAGTGATACACAATGCCTCTGTCATGGGTGCAGCTGGGGCCTGCGGGCTCCAGCTCTACTCGTTTGGACAGACGGTATCGATCCCTTTTTTCCGCGACGAGTGGCGGCCCGACAGCTTTTACGAAAAGATCCAGTACAATCGTCGCGGTGGCATGCACACACTATGTCTGCTGGACATCAAGGTGAAAGAACCAGACTTTGAAGCCATGTGCCGTGGACGCACGGTGTTTCTACCACCTCGCTTCATGACGGTGAATCAAGCGCTCGAGCAGCTGCTGGAGATTGAGGAGAAGCGGCAGGAGGGAGCATACACAAAAGACACAATGTGTGTGGGCATGGCCCGGCTCGGTCAGAACGACCAGAGGATTGTTGTGGGCACCATGGAGCAGCTGCTGACTGCTGACTTTGGCGCTCCTCTGCACTGCCTTGCCATCACAGGCGAAGTCCACCCGCTTGAGGACGAGGTGCGCACTAGTCTATCATGCAGATAGGAACTTGCTCTGACGATATGGCGTGTCTTTTGCGTTACTTTTGTTGCAGATGCTGAAGCAGTTCCTCGTAAAGCCATAGCGATGGACGATCACGGTAAGAAAGATCGACTTTGCCGGCCTCATCGTCGTCAATAGGTGACAAGCGTTACAGGTGCCTTCTCTACAACCACTGTTGCTCTACTTTTTTGGTTGATGCCTGTTCTAAGTACTTAAGGTGGGCCAAGTCTGTCGTCGATCGAGTGATGAACCGGCCGATATGTCTCGCCGAGCCTACACATTCGATCTTTACACGTTCCTATGTGGCAGCGACTTGGTCGTCAATGCTCTTGTCTTTTCGTGTCATTTCTTGCTACTTTATTGCGATTGACGTTGTAAGTGGGCTTTTCTTGCTAGAATGACATACCCGAACAGTGATCTGAACGACTTTGATGTGTAGCAGCGACTTGGCACGGAAGGCACACCTTTGCTTGGTGGAGTCAAAGGTCGAGCGATATGTAAACATGTCTACGAACGTTGTGTCGCCCGAGTGCTCAGTTCAAGCTCGGATTCGGCTCATCATGAGCTTCAGTAGTGCGTTCTTAGCATCGACACTGACGGTCATGCACGTCAAAGTCCAGCAGTCGCTTGGACTGAGTTTACCGCCGTAAGGTACCGACGAAGCTCCAGACAAAGCAGATCAGCACATGACTGTTGCTACCTGAGCTCGGAAACGCAGTGCAGCAGTTACATAGTCAACCGCCATCGACCCGATAGCCTGCAATCAGTATGCAAGCGCCGCTTTCACAACCTTCTGGGCATTGATGCGGCCGTAGCCGTACTGATTGTTCGGGAAGGTCGTGTCGGCGGTGCCACCGCATATCCGCTTCGCTTTGGGCAGCGCCCGGTCCGTCGTGTTGATTAGGATCGTCCGGATGCTGTCAAAGTTTAGTCCCGGGCGAGCACTCAGCGCCAGTGCAATTGTACCCGACACGTGCGGCGCGGCCATACTCGACCCTGACATGAGCAGATAGTCCGAGTCGGAGCCGTTCCATGCCGAGCGGATCCGTACGCCAGGCGCAGTGAAGTCGGGCTTCACTCGTCCATGGACAGAGGGCCCGAGACTGCTGAACCAGCCGATGGCGTCGCTCGCATCGGTAGCTCCGACCGAGAACGTGTCGGCCATATCCCCGGGGGACACGACCGAGCGGCAGCCAGTGGCCCCCGTGTTGCCTGCTGCAAAGACCGAGAGGATGCGGGCAGCCGCCCACGCGTCGAGACTCGGCTGGAAGTACGACAGTCCTTGGCCGACGCCCCAACTGTTGTTCACAATGTGTGGGGCCTTTGTAGGGTCGCAGTTCTGGCCGTCCGTGTCGCTCGGGCACAGCATAAACTGCGCACAGGCCAACAACAGTGTCAACGGACACGAGTCAGCTTGACAGCCCTTGCAGGTCATCCACTTGGCGCCCGGGGCCACCCCCACGCCCGCACTTCCGACGATCGTTGCGGTCGTGTGGGTGCCATGTCCGCTGTCATCAGATGGAGTCGCGGTCTTTGCTGCGGGGTCGTACCACCCGTAAGCTCCGATCCAATTGCTCTGCAGCGTCTCGTGGGTATGCCGCACGCCCGAATCGATCGTGCCGACAACTATCCCTTCGCCCGTGTTGTTGGTCGCCCAGACGCTTGTGGCGTCGATTTTCGTAGCACCCCATGCGGTAGCGTTAGTGCTGCCGCGAGAACTTTCGGCAATCAGGTGAGGCGAAGCAGTCTCGACGATCATGTCGTAGATGAGCTCCTTTACCCCCACGAGCGCAAGAATACCTTCGAGTTGATCGACTGGCGCGCGTAGGACTTCGAGCGTGTTGCTGATCCAGTGGCTCTGGAATTCGACGCCCAAGAGAGACAGCAACTGGACCACTGGTTCTTGACTATCTCGCGCGTGTTGTTGCAGGGCATTGACAATGTTCTCGACGTTCTCGAGTCGCTGCGCTTCCGTCCACACGCCAGTGTTGCTGTTGGCTGCTGCTTGGATGACTGCCTTAGTGTCGTCCTCCATGACGATGATGATCCGGTCTGGATCGTACAGGAGCGACCCAACAACTCTCACTAGTGATGTGGCTGTCGAGGATACGACTGTTGACGTCACAACTTCCAGCAAGTTATCGAGGAATCCGGTCGGGGTACCGGATGCCATTGACACTATAGTAGCTGAGACCATTAGCAAGAGCAACAAAAGAGCTAGATGGGCCATGCTATGCGATTCCAAGACGCGGGTGTCGAAAGCTCGACGGTAGTGGAAGCGAAGCTGCGAGCGAAGTGGTAGGAAACACTTGCAAGGTGAGTGGACAAGTGACTCTGAACCGCGTCTTCAGTGCAGCAGCGGCAGATAGACAGACAGACGCCACATCTGTCATCAAATGTGCTAGCGAGCTGCTGGTGGTGTTACTTTGCTCAACGGTTATCCAAATCTCGCAAGAGGATGAAGACCGCAAGTCGGCGCAAGTTGGTGGAAGTTGGCGTGGTGAGCACGCGAGCGTTTCAGATGAGGCACAGGCTCTGCAGTTTTCGCATTTGTTGAGATATTGAAGCGATTCCATTGACTTCCATTGCTGGCACACTATGTCTACAGCCTTTCATTTGCAGGTGAAGTACATTGCGAGACATCGCGGAGGTTGTTCGATCATGGGCACGTGTCGGAGCCCCCAACTCGAGTCGATCAACTTGACGAAACGAACACAACACGTGGACTGTCTAACTTCGTCGTTTTCGGTCGTTGCAAGTTTCGTCGTGAACGGCTCAGCTCGCGTCTGTCCTTTCATTTCTCCCAGTCCGACACTGATGATCAGTCGACCGACACGTCTCAACGATCGGTTTCCCGCGAGTAAATCACTAAGTTTCTCTCGGTAGCACTACACGTATTGTTGACCTCATCTGCTGGTCGCGTTGTTGTCACCTACAGACATCACTTCTTCCTCTTCTTCGTAGTCTGCGTACGGTAGCGCTGTAGCTAACGACCGACGAATGAGCAGACTTGCGATTGCCGCTAGTAGTTCAGTCGTGTACCAACACACTCTATCTCGACACGCCCTACACGCCTTGTTTTGTTCATGTCGGATCAGCAATCTCATGTAGAATGTGCTCCTTCATGCGCTGCACGCGTCAGGAAGCGACAATTGTCATGCTCATCAATTCCGACCATACTGGATACAAAAGGCTATAGACATGCAACGTGGCACCTGCATGTCAGTCGGCAGACACAAAGTAATCGATAGCTGGAGAAAAGTGAATGAATGGTGCAGTTTTGTTCTGAGCGGTTGAGTCTGGTGTGCGGAGATGGACGGTGCGCGGTTCAAACCGCTTGTGGACCGTGGACCGTGGACCGTATGACGAAAAGGGGACAACGTCAATAAGCGTCGAGTATACGCGGCATCGATACCTTTTTCATCGATTTGGTCAACAATCAGATGCGGTGGGTCGGCGCGTCGTCGACTAGTATACGTATAAAGCGGAGCTCGATAAAAACCTCGGTTCCGAGACGCCAAAATTTAGTCTGAATACGTAGCAGCTGCAAGAGTAAAAGCTCATCACGACAGATAGGCAGCATGGTGTTCAAGCCAAAAGCTACGTCGTCGATCCAGACATCCACGATCCAGCATGAAGACTTGCCGGCAATGATGACAGTGCTTGACAGGAGCAATCGACAAGATCTCATGAGGAGCTGCAGTTCGAGACTACACGACCATCGCGGTAGCTTTTTGTCACCTTGGATCAATTCCCTTTGGGACAATGCCGAGAGCTACAAAAGCTACGACATGTTATTCGACCAGCGTGGCGCTAATACGTGTGCAGATAGACCAAGTAATTCCCAATTGTAGCATCATCATTGTTTACCTCAACAAGGGAAGAAATAACCGACCGAAGGTCGAGCAAAATTTGTCTGCAGAAAGCAGACCAAACAGTTGGTCCTCCAGAAGTCCATGTCTTTCAGTTTAGTGGTTAGGCGCCACAAGTGATGGTCGTGGCGTGGGTTGAAAATTCACCCTCGGCACAGCTTGACCATGCAATTGCTTGCGGTAAACACCTACGGGTGCTGTAGTGTGGGAGTAGTTACATGACCTAGGTACACGACAAACGTCCGTAACCCAAGTTCGCTTGGAGTTCAATACCGGAAACCCCCAATGGGCGGTTGACGGAATGGTACTGAATAGGTAGTAGTCGGGGGCGGTAAGGATTGAGCAAGCGGTACAATCCTGGTCCCCCCGAAATGACTCCGTAATAAGTGACTCAAATCGGCGTAAGTCGTGGCCACAAACTGGCGCTGATAGCAATTAAATACGTTCCAAAAAAGGAATAAGCTTGGAGAGACAGGCGACAGTAAAGGCCAAACGACAGACGCTTATGTCGGTACAAACCGTACCAACCCTATCGAAATAGGGCCTCGCTGTAACCTGGCGACGGGAAGAAAGTTGGCGCCAGTAACCGAATTAGGGGCCAGCCGGGAAGTTGAGGTATGTCAATTCAACAATACGGCACGGGACAGCGCCCCACAATCGCAAAGCCAGGTCAAGCCGGCGAAGCATCAACGTCAAGAAAAAGAGAAGGCCAAAATCGTCGAATATGGAGATCCGATAGCAATTCGTTAAGCTGCCGCAGGGTAAGACTGGAATGGCGAAGGCTGCGGCTAGCCAAGTCCTGAATAAACCACTCCGTATGAGTATTAACAACCGCGTGGATCTGAGCCTGAATTCCAAGAAGGTTCCCTGCAGCATTTTTTGCCATGACAGGGGAGAGGCTAAATACACCGGACACTATTGCTAATACACCGGGGCCTATCCATTAGACTTAACGTTTATATGACAACCGTGGTATCACATTCAGGCCATGTCAATTCGAATATAACAGGATAAGCGAAGTAGAAATGCAACTGTAACATGGTTAGGCCACGATAATTCAAAAGGTAATTCTCCGTTGTCCAATGCATGATAATGAGCACTTCATCCGCCTTCACTACTGCTGCTGCCACTGCTACGGTCGTTGATGTTGATATTAATTCTGTCGTCGCTGGCAATCATGTTACGCCTCAAGTTGATGCTGGCCCTGATCCTGCCGCCGCTATCCTCTCATGGATCTGTGAAGAATCCCCACCGGTCGGGCCTTTTGACAGTCAAAAGACGGCTGTAGGGACTTTGAAGTAGTACGCCGTACGCCAAGGCTTTTCCATCAGCGTATCCCGCAGCCGTTCGATAGGCCCCAAGCCCAGCATTTTTTTACATGTTCACAGGGAAAACATTGTACGAATCCCACAGTCTGTACACATCAATGCGAGATCGCGGGACAAAAAAGGTTGGCTGTTCATACGAGCTCGGGATCATGTATGACCAGCACGCCCCAGAAGAAAGTGCCTAATCAACGCTTTGTGTACACAACTGCCACACCGTTCACTTCCGTTCTATCAGCAAGACCATTCTCTCAGCAAGACCATTCTCTCAGCGCTACCGGCGGCGAGACGTGCGTCACTAAATAATGACGATGTTGATTCTAAGGTCGTCCAGATGCATCAAGATGGAGCTTATTCACGTGTATGTGTGCGTGTTGAAGTCATATACAGCAGGTCATCATCTGTTTTCTGTCTGTATGTGATTCACATTGGATATTACCAGTTTAAGAAGTCGGGTATCCTTATAAATGCAAAGGATGTCCGCAATGTTGTTCAGAAGGCAAACAGAAAGGCACTTATGGAATCTCATACACGGAAGCTCTGCTGCTGCGCATATAGGACCAGAGGTGGCCTGGCTACGATAAAGATGCATTTCTTTTTAGCTTGTCCTGTAATATTCGAATTGACGTGGCCTGAATGTGATACCACGGTTGTCATTTAAAAATTAAGTCTAATGGATAGGTGGCGGTGTATTTAGCCTCGCCCCATGTAAGCTTCTCATATCTCATATCTTAGATCTTTATCGGTATCTGTCGCTACCGCCAGACGAAATACCCGCAAAAGCAACAGAAGAGGATTGTGATGTGTATACTACCCGCTAAAGTAGAAGATGACATCTTACTATGCGCTTTTTTGCTGCATAGCTGATTCAGCATTGTGTAGCAATCTAGGGGTGCGTAATGCTGCAATGAAAAATGATCCGCTCCGCGTGAATTGCTATTAAAATGTACCTCACTCGCATCCGCGGCGTAGGCACGTAGATCAGAATCTGCTCAAAGTGTCGAAACGTTTCAGCGAATAGAAAACAAACGAGCGCAAACAGCAGAACATGGCGTGAAATGCTTTTTCACGAATTCAACGCGAACAGTCAATCTTTTCAGCGCAGACAACGTCCATCATTACCGTCTTCGTCGAAACTCATCAAACAGCTATTGACCTGTAGCCTCTTGGCTTGCAATGGCCTCGTCAAAGTCGTTTGGCAGCGCTCCAGCTGGTGCTGATACAGGAACGAGCTCAGGGGGCGTCGGCGTTTCCAACTACGTTGAGGAAAAAGGTGCGGTCCATATTGAGCCGTGGAATTGTATAAACGTGTAAAAGCTGCTAAAAGAAGAGATGTGTGTTTTCACCAGCGAAATGTGCCGCATTTCTGTTAAACTTTACGTCGAATCTGGATGAGCCCGCGCTGGGCCCCAAGTACGTGCGGATGATGGTGCGACGTGATACCGACTATTGTGGTGCTTTACGGGCTCGAAGCGTGTATGTAACAACTGTTCATATGTGACAGCAAGAGGTGGCGAATCGGGAACGAACGTCGATAGCCATTTCGCTGGACGACTTGCAAATTGTATGGTTGTTTAAACGCTTTTACCAGTCGTGCCCCAGCAGATTCAGCAAAAAATGTGCAAACGTGCTAACCTGTCTCCCCCGTCCACGGTCCAATGTGATATGCTGCAGTATGAAAACGACGACCCGACGTTCGTGGCGCGCATCGTCCGCAACGCTCGACGATACATTTCGCTCTTTTCGGACGCAGTGGACGAGAATCTGCCACCTCCAACACGCGATATCTCGGACTTTCAAGACGTGCTGGACGTCCTGCGAATCACTCGTGCCCAGGAAATGGCTCAGCAGAGTCAACCAACCGACAGTGATGTAGACGGCAGCCACGCAACGGCTCGAAGTGCCGTACACGTGTTTCCGCCTGCTCTGATGCGGCGATTCGAAGTGCATTTGATTCCTGGTGTCAAGCTGAAAGCTGTGCCGATTCGAGAAGTCAAGGCAGCAAAAGTTGGAGCGCTTGTGCGCGTCAAGGGAATGGTGACTCGAGTGTCGACTGTAAAGCCGCTGTTGACAGTCGCGACGTACACGTGCGAAGCATGTGCGTACGAAGTGTACCAAGAAGTCAAGGCTCGGCAGTTTAACCCACTGACACAATGTCCGAGTGAACGATGTCAAACAAACAGAGCTCAGGGCCGGTTGATCATGCAGACAAAAGCCTCCAAGTTTGACAAGTATCAGGAAGTCAAGTTTCAGGAACTTCCCGATCAAGTGCCAATGGGCCATATTCCTCGATCACTTACCGTGTACCTGCGAGGCGAGCTCACGCGAACGTGCGAGCCTGGTGCTTTGGTGACAATCTGCGGTGTATTCTTGCCTCTACCGTACTCGCCTCAACGACAGATGCAAATGGGTCTTGTTACCGAAACTTACTTGGAAGCGACTGATGTGGTGAATCACAAGAAGCGGTACTCTGCTATGGAATCGTCAGAGGCAATGGAGAGCGCTGTTCTGCGGTTGCAGGAAGGCTCGGAGAATGTCTACGAGGTGCTATCACAGTCGCTGGCACCAGAAATCTACGGTCACGAGGACGTGAAGAAAGCGCTCTTGTTGCTGCTGATTGGCGGCGTCACAAAGCGTATGGATGAGGGTATGCGGCTACGTGGCGATCTCAATGTGTTGCTCATGGGCGACCCTGGTGTCGCAAAGTCGCAGTTGCTGAAGCACATTGCAATCGTCGCCCCACGAGGCGTTTACACGACCGGCAAAGGTAGTTCTGGTGTTGGATTGACCGCTGCGGTAGTGCGCGATGCAACGACAAAGGAGATGACACTCGAGGGAGGTGCGCTTGTCTTGGCGGATATGGGCGTCTGTTGCATCGATGAGTTCGATAAGATGGAGGAAGGCGATCGAACGGCTATTCACGAGGTCATGGAGCAGCAGACCGTGAGCATTGCAAAGGCAGGCATTACAACGACGCTGAATGCGCGCACGTCCGTGCTTGCAGCTGCGAATCCGATATACGGTCGCTACAACAAGAAGCTCAGTGCTTCGCAGAACATCAACCTCCCGAACGCGCTGCTGTCTCGCTTCGACCTCTTGTTCTTGTTGCTGGACGTCGCGAATTACGAAAAAGATGAAGCGCTTGCGCGCCACGTCACGTATGTCCACCGCTATTGCCGCAATCCCGAGATGAAGTTTGAGCCCGTGCGACCGGAAGTCTTGCGCTACTTTATTGCCATTGCCAAGCAGTACCAGCCCAGCATCCCCGAGCATCTGTGTGGCTATATCGTTGAAGCATATGTCACTCTGCGCCAGCAGGATGTTAACGAACATGCCCGTGAACGACAGCAGCAGCAATCTCGTCAACAGCATTACGGCAACGGTGGCGCCAATGACGCCCAAACGGCCATGACGGCCCGTCAGCTGCTGAGCATTTTGCGACTCTCGCAAGCACTCGCACGATTGCGTTTCTCCACGGAAGTGATTCACCAGGATGTCGATGAGGCCATTCGACTGGTGTACGTGTCCAAGGCCTCCTTGTCGGAGCAAGACGACGCCAATGGTATTGGGACCAATGGCAAAACGGGCACGATGAACAGAGGCGGTCGTAGCAGCTCTGATGCCACGTCCAAGATCTTCCGTTTGCTGCTGGAGTTCGCCACGGATCGCAACCTCAAAGTCCTCGCCATGAGTGATGTGGAGCCGATTGTGCTACGCAAGGGCTTTACTGCTCAGCAACTGAATGCCTGCATCGATTTCTACCAGCAATTGGAGGTCATGCAATTGTCGTGCAACGGCACGCGGCTCACCCTCATCTAGTAGATCGAAGACTGGCAAGGTAGTTGCGGTGGCGATGATGCAGCGGTAATGAAACATAGGGCTTGACAAGCGCTTCCTCTCGACTCTTCAATCAACACCTGCTGCCCCCGCACATTGGACCCGATCAGAGCTTATGTCTCGCTTTGGATGACAAGACGCCAGACATCAACGGTGTGATCCACATGGACGACAAAGGTGAGGAGAAGAAGTGGCCGTGACAGGTAAAGGTGCTGCTAGCTTGTTGATTGATTATTCTCACCTGCACGCTGCCTAAATGCTAATGTAAAAGTGCACTTAGAAGCGGACCATACGCTCGAGCATGCGCTTCTTGTCCTCGAGTTCACGAAGAGTGGCTTCTTCGTGGTCCTCCAGCCAGTCGCGGGCATCGCGAATGGCGCTCTCGACGTTCGTGTCGCCCTTCTCGCGCGCCTGCTCGATCGCACGGTAAATGAATTGCTCCAGGTCGTTACGGGCCTCGATGCGACGCAGCATCTCGGCGTCGTCCTTCTTAAACTTGTCGGCCTCCGCAACCATGCGGTCGATATCCTCCTGGGTCAATCGCCCGCGGTTGTTCGAGATCGTCGTCTCAGCCTTCGCACCCGTCTTCTTGTCGCGCGCAGACACGTTCAAGATACCGTTCGCATCAATCTCGAACGTCACTTCGACCTGCGGCTCGCCGCGTTTCGCACGCTCCAGGCCAGAAATGTTGAACTCGCCCAGCTTGTTGTTCGACTCGACGCACGCACGCTCACCCTCGTAGATGCACACGTCCACAGATGTCTGGTAGTCCTCCTCCGTCGTGTACACGCGCGTTTTCCGTACTGGAATGGCCGTGTTGCGCTTGATCAGCACCGACATGACCTTGCCCACCGTCTCAATACCAAGCGACAGCGGCGTCACGTCAACCAGCAGCAACGAGTTCGTGGCATCGTTGCGGATACCGTCCAAGATCGCACCCTGCACGGCAGCGCCGTACGCCACAGCCTCGTCCGGGTTGATCGACTTGGACAGCTCTTTGCCGCCAAACAGAGACGACAGCATGGTCTGCACCTTGGGGATACGCGTTGAACCGCCCACGAGCACCAGCTCCGTCACGTTCTCGGGCTTCATCTTGGCGTCTTCGAGCACCTTCAGCACCGTCTCCTCGCAGCGCTTGAACAGCTCCTCGTTCAGCGACTCGAACTTGGCACGGGTCACCGTCGACGAAAAGTCCACACCCTCAAACAGCGAGTCGACCTCCACCGATGCACTAGTGGTCGTCGACAGCATGCGCTTGGCCGACTCACACGCCGTGCGAAGACGACGCATGGCACGAGCCGAAGTCGACGGGTCCAAGTTGCGGTTCTTGCGCTTGAACTCGGACAACAGGTACTCGACCATGTTGTTGTCAAAGTCCTCACCGCCAAGATGCGTGTCACCGCCCGTCGACTTGACCTCAAAGATACCGTTCTCGATCGAGAGGATCGACACGTCAAACGTACCACCGCCCAAGTCGAAGATCAGCACGTTGCACGCCTTGCCGTCCGTGCCAGCGTTCGTGTCCAGACCGTACGCGAGCGCAGCCGCCGTGGGTTCGTTGATGATACGCTTCACGTCCAAGCCAGCAATCGCTCCAGCGTCCTTGGTCGACTGACGCTGCTGGTCGTTAAAGTACGCCGGCACGGTCACCACCGCCTGCGAGATGCTCTGACCCAAAAACGCTTCCGCCGTCTCCTTCATGCGCAAGAGCACCATCGACGAAATCTCTTCCGGCGTAAAGCTCTTCTTCTCGCCCTTGAACTCCACTTCAATCAACACCTTGTCGTCGTCGCCCTCTTTAATGGTAAAGGGAAAGTGCTTGGCGTCCTTCTTCACCACTTCGTCACTGAAGCTCCGCCCAATGATGCGCTTGGCATCAAACACAGTGTTCGTCGCGTTGCCTGCAGCCTGGATCTTGGCAGCTTCGCCAATGAGGCGCTCACTGTCGTTGAACGCCACCCACGACGGCGTCGTGCGGTTGCCCTCACTGTTGGCAATGATCTCCACTTGGCCGTCTTTCCACACGCCCACGCACGAGTACGTCGTGCCCAGATCGATACCAATGACCTCCGAGAAGCCCTTCTCAGCGCGTTTCGCGCGCTCTTCGCGCTCCTTGCGCGCTTTGTTGATCTTCTCCTCAATCTCCATGCGCTTCATCTTGCGCGTGGCTTCGTCCATCTCGACGCCGCTCACCTCCTCGTCCTGCACCTGCTGCGCCGCTTGCGCCTGCGTCAGACCCGCCTGCAGCGCGCGGTTGCCCTTCTCGACCGTCAGGCCGTCCGTGTAGGCGCCGATGGCTTTCGCGTAGTTTTTAATGTAAAAGTGCGCCGCCCCGAGCCGCGCGTAGCCCTTGGCAAAGGTCGCGTCGAGCGCGATACAGGTCTTGGCGTCCTGCATGGCGGGCGTGGCCTGTCCCGCCGATAAATAGGCCGCCGAGCGGTTCGAAAAGTAGATGACGTTCGTCGGCTCGTAGGCAATGGCCGTCGTGAACTCTTTGATCGCTGTCGCGTGGTCGCCGGCGGCAAACGCGGCATTGCCGCGCTCTTTGGCTTCGGCGCCGAGTTTCACGCGCTCGTCGGCGGGGACGCTCGCGTACGCGTCTTTCGTGGTCTTGCGCGTGCGACGCTTGGGGGCCATGGCGACGGTTAGCGGAGAGAGAAAGAGGAGTGAGAGAGGGAGAGAGAGAGCGCGTGCGGGACGACGTGCGCGCTAGTTCCCGAGTTGGAAAATGACGTCGAGGAGGTCGAGCGCTGGGGACCAACCGATGGCAGGTGGCGATTTAGGGCCAGTCATTCGTTGATTTGCTTTGGTTGAGGGCGTTTTTAGACGCAGTGGGGCCGTGGGGGGCGTGTTTGGCAGAGGACTCATGTTTTATGGACCGATGGTGGGAGTCAATTGTCGACCAGTAGTTTTTGTGTGCGACACAAAGATACGAGCGATCTGATTCGAGACCGCCAAGTCGGTCGATTAGAGCCGATAGTACGGGTACAGTGATGCGGCATCGAGTCGATGACGACTGCGTCCATCGGTCGAGTGGATACAGCTGTATTGTCGGCGAGCAAGTTGGCCGTCTCACACTGGCAATAGCGTAGCACAAGCAGTAATTGACAGCATGTAGATGATAGGAATTACAAGTGAGGGCGTTGTCCATACCAGCAACAGCAGTCTAGTGCCGGGTGACGACGTCCGTATCAACAGGACCATTTAGCGCACGGTATTCTTCGCCAGATAGCGCGAACTGATTCTGCAATAAGTGCGTTTTGTGCCAGCTTGTTACGTCAAACACTATCCACTACTGCACGCTCTAATCACCTCAACGAAAACGCAGATGCGATCAGTATGTGTGCCCCCAGCGGTACCGACATCCGTGATGGTATCGCTCACCGGTACTTTGCCATCCTGCAGGTACCGTCCAGTCACACGTCCTGATGGTCAAGGCCGCGACCGCTGATGCCGACCTCGTCTTCGCCACGTACCAAGGCGAGAAGCAGCTCGCAGAGCTCGTCAAGCTGATCGACAAGGACTTGTCCGAGCCGTACTCAATCTTCACGTACCGCTACTTCCTGTACAATTGGCCACAGCTCAGTATTCTAGCGCGCGTGCAACACAAACTCGTGGGCGTTATCATCTGTCGCCAAGAGCCACTTGGCGCGACGCCCGAAGAGACAGGAGACGACGGACTGAACAGTCCGAACGATCCCAAGCGCCGATGGAGAGGGTACATTGCCATGCTGGCGGTCGAGAAGCAGTATCGCCATCGCGGGATTGGCTCTCAGCTGGCGCAGAAAGCGATCGAGCGGATGCAAGACGACGGCTGCGAAGAAGTAATGCTCGAGACGGAGATTGCGAACAAAGCGGCCATCCGGTTGTACGAGAACTTGGGCTTTGTGCGGGACGAGCGTCTGGTCAAGTACTATCTGAACGGCGGAGACGCATACCGTCTGAAGCTATGGCTACAGTGATACTGTAGCAGGTACAGCGATTGTCGGATGGACTCGGCGCTGGGTGCACTTCACCGGTAACCGAGGCTGGTTTTCTGTCGGCCGAAGCACAGTAAGTACGGCTGCAGCCATGTAGTAAATTACGGTAATATAACTGGACTAGAGCTGGCTCGAGTCGGTGAGTCCGGCATGTTCTGTACGGCACAATCAAACACACACGACATACAGAACTGTCGATCACTGACATCTTAGCAGCGCTCACCAGTTGAGCGTCCACGTTAGAGCGTCTTGTTCGGATGCGTAACTTGACGCGCGATTCCTGCCCCTTTTCGCATGTGACCCTGTCTCGTTGCGTCGATCTTCGACATTGCTGAGACCAGAATTTAGTTTTGTGGGATAGCTCACCTTGGCTTTGGTTCTGCGTCGTTCGCGATTGTGCTCTGGTCAAACCGGTGCGCTCCCCTTGGCGCGAAGTCCACCAAGATGTAAGGCTACTCTCTCGCTCTTCTCATGCCGTAGATTTATCGTTATTGAGATGGCGTGGATAATGTAGCACGAAATGTTTTGACTAAAACTGGTGCTGCTGCTGGACCAGCAGACCACAATAAGAAACCAGAATTGCTTATGCGTTTGAGCGCCACTTAGTAGCAGGTTGTTACAGTGCTGCACATCACTGATGCGGAATGATGCGGTCGATCATCAGGCAATCGATAGAAGATAAATGTGTCACCACGATGGCGTGCAGTTTTACCTTTGGATCATTTTCTTTTTGCTTATTGCGGCTCAATGAGATAGATGTCACCATTTATTGGCTCATCGGCGTCATGTCCTCGGTCCTCAATGACAACGGTCGGTAGCAATGGCAGGTCTCCCGCTTATTTGTGGTACGCCCTTCGATTGACGTTTCACAAGAGCGAACTTGACACGTCGAACGTCATTCGCGACGTTGCACGCTTGCGATAACTAGATCAACTCATTTCGTTTGCGTCCTTACTACCTGGTGAGAAACAAGAATTGCACTAGCCAAGGCTTTAAAACAGAAAACACCGACTTGACGGACGACATAGCGTCAGATTTGCCTTTAACTAGCAATGAGATTGACAGACTGGCACGTACCCGGAAACAAAAATTGCCGGTAATTGTAGTGTTGCGAGCTACATTGTGTTGTTAGCGCACATGAAGTACGCAGGACCGGCTCAATGAACAAGGTACAATTCGAATACGAGCGGGCTGCAGAACCCGGTCGCACATTGATACATGACGACACTAAGGTGATTGTCGTGAGCAGATTCGGCCGAATAAAGGTAGATGATCATTCAATGGAAGAAGCTCGCAGCTAATTATCACCTCAGATGGGCTTTCATAATCAACATCACCGACCCAGTACGATAATGGATGAGGTCTAAGTTATGTAGTGCACCAACCAGATTAACGACAGCGTATTTGACGGCGCCGAGGCACATGCGCGGGGTCGTACGTTTTGTAGTTACTTATGTGACGAACAAAGATTGGCGACGCTAAGTGTCAGGAATACCCTGGGTGGTGTGCAACGGAGGTACACTACGAGCAGTACATCCATGGACTAGGTACGTGCACCTTGTAATTTACCACCCATTCAAATCAGTGTCGCTTCAGCTATCAATGGTGTGTTTCATGTTTGCTTTAGTAGAGGGTAAAATAGAACACTACATGATATGTAAAGTTCATCTCCTTTACCAAATAGTCAATAATTATTAGTTCGCATTTGATCTGTATAAGACGCGTGCCTTGTTATGGCGTCTTTAATTACAAGAGTTGGAATCCTTATTATGGCATATGACCTTAAGCACATTGTGCTGTAGATTATCGAAATCGTAGGAGTCTCTTGGACCAGAACTAGAAGGCTCAGTGAGCAAAGTATACTCGTTGGGTCTTGTTCTCGTTGAAAACAAAGTATCCCGTTGAGTTACAAGCCTTCCTCTGACAAATAAGCTATTATAGCTACGCTACAGTTAATTTTCGACATTTCCAAAGTGATTCATTACCACTTCCACACTGTAACGGGGCACGCCTTTTGTCACTTCGACACAAGCTTGTGTGCACCCGACATCACGTACAAGTGGAGAGGAAGCGCAGCGAAGTAGGCAGAACTCGAAAGATCTGTGTAAGGGAAAAAGTAGAACTGTCATTTAAAATAGTTAGTTTCTCACTAAATCATCTTTCGTCTTAATCTAACTATATTAAACTACCATCTCCTTTGTGGGTCTCTTGCTCACCACCCATTGCGCGCGTCCAGCAGCGATTGGTGGTTAATTAGGTTGCTGTAGATGTTACATCAATCAAGAAGTGGAGCACCCACGAAAATTAGCCTTGGGGGTAATATTCCGACAACATCACCTCTTCTCGAGTGATGTTAATTGAATATTATCAAAATGGATAATACTCATAAATTGATACTTTCTATCAATTTTTATGTAACGGGATCACCCCGTTACATCACCCCTCTCTTAACTTTCAGTCACTATAGTGAGTGTGTTTCTATTGGTGACAAAGCGACTACCGTCGTGTCGCTCGTGGGACAGAGAGCACTCATTGGTTTTTCCTTTCATTTCAGCTTTTCATCGCATGACGAGTCCGTCCATGCGCTGCACGAACAAGGCCGCGACCAAAGTGGCTGCACTAATGCGCGCAGACGGAGAACAAGCTGCCCAAGAATCAGCAGCAGTTGACTCGACACCTGCTGCTGCCAGTAAGCAGCCTGCAACACCCGTAGTTGCAGGAGCATGTGGTCATCTACGTGCTGCTCCTTCACCCGCAGCTTCGGCTGCGGGCGGCAGTCCCGTGACCAAATAAAGATATAGAGGTGGTCTATTCGGGCGAGTCGGATTCTTCCGACTCGACGCCGTCCGCAAATCCCGACCGTACGGTTGCGGAAGCGACAACTGCTGCGCCTCGCGGCAGTCTCGATAAGGACTTGCGCTATGAGATGCTCGGTTCATCCGACGAGTCCATAAACTCGTCGCCGGGATCCAACCGATCGCGCTCGTATTCGTACGAGGAGAGTAGGAAACATGAGGAAGTACGTCCTCATGAGATTGTCGATGACTCTTCGCGGAGTCATCGTAGCCATAGTCGCAGCAAGACTAGGTATTGCGGCGATCGTGGTGCCAGCTCTCATGTTAGCACCACGCAGGAGGAGCAGGATCGCAACGCGTTGCGATCTGCTCCTGGTAACAAGTCATGTATGTCTACCTTGAGATACTTACTAGAGTGGTATGGGCATACCACTGAGAGTTGTCGAATCCCACTCTTTGACTCGTCAATGATCCATGGCCTTGACCCCAGTGCAAGAAATTATCGCACTGAGCATGAATTCTACATCGATGTCTTCTTTAGACATCGATGGTACCACGGCAACCGCAAGAGAGACGAATTCTTGTTGGTGCAGGCGTTAAATTCGCTCATCGGCAACATTGAGAATTTTGACCGCAAGGTTTGGCTGGACAAACTTGATGTTGCTCGCAACGGGTTTGAGCTGAAGTCGCATACCAGTGCTCGGTATAAATTGCACCGATTGTCTCGAGAGGCAGGTTTACCTTGTCTCTCGTGGGGAGAGAATTGTCTGAGTTGTGTTGACAACTCAGTTCGCGCCCCTAGGGAGGCGTTCCTCCCTAATCAACCCTACTGGAGGGCGCGCATCTCTTCGGAGTTGCGTCAAGGGATTGAGAACCTACCATCCCTTTACGAACACGGCGGGCGTTCGTACGACGATGGTCCTCCATCAAAGGGTGTGTCTTGTCGTAGTTCTCGACGAGACCGGGTACATCCAACATCAGCTGGGAGCGGGCTCTTGCCTGTTCCAAGCGAGTGGATATCCTCGCCACTGGACGAATAAACTCTTCCTTGATCTTGAATTGTCACGGTCGTTCAAGATACGCTAAACAAGGAAGCGTTGACCACCGTGGGAGTCAATGGAAGGATGTGGAGGAGGAGGGAAAACCTCCTCCAGGTCGTTCTTCTCACCATCTCGACCTGCACGATATGGATCGCGCAATTGTTGAATTGCGCGAGGATTTAAAGCACGATATAGACAGGAGTTACGCTCTGACCGACAATGTGCGGCAGTACCGCAAGGATCGCGAGACCAAGCGTGCGAAGGGCCGTGCGAAGTACGCGGTCGCGCAACTGCAGGTAGAGCGCGATATCCGCTCTCTCGTTGAGGGGATGAGGACGGCACGCATGGAAATATCTCGGCTGAACGAGAGATCTCTTCATTACGCATCCAGACTGATAGTCTGGAGCGCTAACGCAAGAGCCTGATGGAGGATCTATAACGTGGGGGTATCTTCATCGTCGGAAGAGGGCTCGTACTGACAGTACGGGAGACGTCTCACGTAAACGTAGGATGCGTACGCATCCTACGTGGCAGCTCTATCGTGTATGCGTTGCCTTGTCGGCGCAGCACACGAAAGGGGCCGATGTACTTGGGCAGTAGTTTACTGCTGCCCACATTGGTCACTACGTGTCTAGGTAGGTTTAACGTAGACAGTAGGACTAAGTCGCCTTCAACAAATGAAAGAACAATGCTCTTCCATACTTGTCTGCGTTCCGTTGCTGCCGGTCCACCGCGTTAGCGTTGGAGTCCTCAACGAAACGGACTACTGCTTTTCGATTCAACAGAAAGATCTCAACAACAACGAGTCAGTGGAGACACTGACTCGTTGTTGTGCCTTTCAGTGCGCATTGTGCGCACTGCTGAGAGATTCTTCTCTTCTTCAGCGAAGGTGTCGACTTCCTCGCTGGTATGATCATTGCCGATGATAAATATTCCAGCATCGTCACCGTTGTCGGACGTAGCAGCGGAGTCATTGTAACTGCTAAGATTAACTTCGTCGATGTCGACATTACAGACATCGGCGTCATACGTGACGACGTTAGCGTCGACACGTGATGAGCAAGAGCCAGAATGTTTTTTCCTCGAGGGAGCCTCCCTTAACCAAGAGTCACACTCTAACAGGGAGGCCAGACTTGGATGGCGTAAG